CCTATCTATCCTATCTATCCTTCTATCCTATCTATCCTTCTATCCTATCTATCCTATCTATCCTATCTATCCTATCTATCCTATCTATCCTATCTATCCTATCTATCCTATCTATCCTATCTATCCTATCTATCCTATCTATCCTATCTATCCTATCTATCCTATCTATCCTATCTACCCTATCTACCCTATCTACCCTATCTATCCTATCTACCCTATCTACCCTATCTATCCTATCTATCCTTTCTATCCTATCTATCCTATTTATCCTATCTATCCTATCTATCCTATCTATCCTATCTATCCTATCTATCCTATCTATCCTATCTATCCTATCTATCCTATCTATCCTATCTATCCTATCTATCCTATCTATCCGATCTATCCGATCTATCCGATCTATCCGATCTATCCGATCTATCCGATCTATCCTATCTATCCTATCTATCCTATCTATCCGATCTATCCGATCTATCCAATCTATCCGATCTATCCGATCTATCCGATCTATCCGATCTATCCGATCTATCCGATCTATCCGATCTATCCGATCTATCCGATCTATCCGATCTATCCGATCTATCCGATCTATCCTATCTATCCTATCTATCCTATCTATCCTATCTATCCTATCTATCCTATCTATCCTATCTATCCTATCTATCCTATCTATCCTATCTATCCTATCTATCCTATCTATCCTATCTATCCTATCTATCCTATCTCTCCTATCTCTCCTATCTCTCCTATCTATCCTATCTATCCTATCTATCCTATCTATCCTATCTATCCTATCTATCCTATCTATCCTATCTCTCCTATCTGTCCTATCTGTCCTTTCTGTCCTATCTATCCTATCTATATCTATCCTATCTACCCTATCTATCTCTCCTATCTATCTATCTATCTATCTACCTATCTATCCTATCTATCCTATCTATATCTAGCCTATCTATCCTATCGATCCTATCCTATCTTCTATCTATCCTATCTATCCTATCTATCCTATCTATATCTATATCTATATCTATATCTATCCTATCTATCCTATCGATCCTATCGATCCTATCTATCCTATCTATCCTATCTATCCTATCTATCCTATCTATCCTATCTATCTATCCTATCTATCCTATCTATCCTATCTATCCTATCTATCCTATCTATCCTATCTATCCTATCTATCCTATCTATCCTATCTATCCTATCTATCCTATCTATCCTATCTATCCTATCTATCCTATCTATCCTATCTATCCTATCTATCCTATCTATCCTATCTATCCTATCTATCCTATCTATCCTATCTATCCTATCTATCCTATCTATCCTATCCTATCCTATCCTATCCTATCTATCCTATCTATCCTATCTATCCTATCTATCCTATCTATCCTATCTATCCTATCTATCCTATCTATCCTATCTATCCTATCTATCCTATCTATCCTATCTATCCTATCTATCCTATCTATCTATCTATCTATCCTATCTATCCTATCTATCCTATCTATCCTATCTATCCTATCTATCCTATCTATCCTATCTATCCTATCTATCCTATCTATCCTATCTATCCTATCTATCCTATCTATCCTATCTATCCTATCTATCCTATCTATCCTATCTATCCTATCTATGCTATCTATGCTATCTATGCTATCTATCCTATCTATCCTATCTATGCTATCTATGCTATCTATGCTATCTATGCTATCTATGCTATCTATGCTATCTATGCTATCTATGCTATCTATCCTATCTATCCTATCTATCCTATCTATCCTATCTATCCTATCTATCCTATCTATCCTATCTATCCTATCTATCCTATCTATCCTATCTATCTATCTATCCTATCTATCCTATCTATCCTATCTATCCTATCTATCCTATCTATCCTATCTATCCTATCTATCCTATCTATCCTATCTATCCTATCTATCCTATCTATCCTATCTATGCTATCTATGCTATCTATGCTATCTATGCTATCTATGCTATCTATCCTATCTATCCTATCTATCCTATCTATCCTATCTATCCTATCTATCCTATCTATCTGTCTATCTATCTATCTATCTATCTATCTTTGTATCTATCCATCTATCTATCTATCTATCTATCGATCTATCTAACCATCCATCCATCCATCCATCTATCTATCTATCTATCTTTCTATCCAATCATTCTATCTTA